CCGTGTCTTGCTTCGTTCGCGCTTTAGCTCCAAATTACACTTGGCGCACGTGAATTCTATTACGTGAATATAAGTCATGCGTTTATCACCTTAAATTTGAGCTTCGTATTTCATTAATTTATATATATTATAAATATTTACATCGTCTTTTCTTACATGACATATAAGAGTCTACTTTATTTTGTTGCGTAAGTTAAAAAAATGAATTTATTTTGTCATTTTTATACGCGAAATATTAGAGAAAAGTGTTACATTTTGTGTTCAGTCAAATCTTGCTTTCTTTCGAGTACTTACTGATTGTTTTTTATGCAGCGCGAACTAAATACCGTGGCACTACAGTGTCATATTGATGTAATGTTCCATTCCATAACATCCCTTTGACAATTTTTTGCCTGAAAGATGCACATACATATGTACATATGTACATTGAATCCTGTATACAATCAGTTGGATGTATCTGAAAAGAGCAGAGAGTGCATGTGTCCATTACAAATATGCATGTTTTACTATTGTAAAATATGCACGCTTTTTCAAGATTTAAATCCATTTAAATCACGATTCGCGAAAATATTTTTCATACAAATCTTACGTGACACTATTTACAACATTTAACAAATGATGTAAATAGCCTATAGCGTATCAAAGCGACAGAGACATTTTAATCATCCGATCAATAATACAAATATAATTTTCTCCCTATTAACGTCTAAGCAATTTGTGAACACGAAACCGTCTCCGGTTAGAAAGGGCGATGTTTCTCGAATACAGCCCGGATATTTAGCATTTATATACGTGACGTAACCGCGTTACCAGGCTATACGGTGCACTCCCTGATCGATAAGCGTACATCCCCGGAAGAGGAGGAAGAGGAGGAGGTGGAGGATGGGTCCAAGGTGCGCGAGAGATTTTTTTGTCGCAATCCGCGACAGTTTGATAGCCGCTCGCTCACGCTCGCGCCCATAGGTACAACGTAGAGAAGGGGACACCCCGTTCTGTAGCGTCCTGCCTGGGGATTTATTGTCGATTTCGCAGAGCGCGTCGTGCAATCGGCTCGTCGGGAAAATTTCGACCGATCGGACGAACACGCCGGGCTGTCGATAAGCCGCGCGATGCACCGTTAATCTGCATGCGCGCGCGTGGTTCAACGCGTGCGTACCGCTCGCTCGAATCTCCTTCTCCAGACTCGCTCGAAGGCAACATAACGATGCAGTGGGGTCGAGTAGCATTTACCTTCCATCGTAATTTCGAGAAAATGAAAAACGAGACTTGATTTCTTTAACATTTTTTATATTTCTCTACTCGAGAAGAGTCAAAGTATTGAGTTAAAAGATCCATCCGTGCGGAAAAACGTCTAACAAAAGTCACGATTTGTGAAAATAGCATTTTACTTTTTAGTTAAGATTAAATAAATGGAAAATATGAAATAAACAATGAAACTTGTTTGGCGTAAATCTTCAATATTAGATATTTTTCAGTAGTTGTCATAAAAAATATATAAGTATTTATTATTTGTAATTGTAGCAATTATTCATTGCCGCTCCGTTAATTACATTGCTTTAAGTAATCATACGTGGAAACTTGGGGAATTACATCTTTAATATTAAAAAATACGCCAGAGAAATTATCACGGGCACTGTCGAAACGGACTTAAACAAAATTTGTTCTGATTATCACGATAATTGAACTTAATTTCGTAACTTTATTCGTTTTAATTTTGCAACCTCAATTACGTGCTTCTAATTAGTCTAATTATTTATTATCTCGCAACGAAACGGATTTTTCTATTAACGTTCTTCGTGTGATGAATCGTAACTGTGTGAACAGCAAGTCCTTTCATCGAACGTGTTCGTTACAAATGATTGACAACCGAGATTTGTAATATTATTTACATTACGATGATACTTTGGATGCTACGTTGACGCAATCTCGAAGGAATCGTTTCACAAGTCCATGATTAAATCTCGCGACCTTGTCAGCAGGGCTCCACATTGCTGACATAACGACATATGCTCTCAATGACAGCCAGGAACGTCGTTGTGACTTAATAGCATCGACCACTGGCATGAAAACGAACGTGTCAAGCATCCATGAGATCACTGCCATATTCATCCATGTATATTTTTTCGCGTATGAAAAATAACCGATTCCAATTCCTGCCTTGGATCGGACTTCCATAAAAGTGAGGCATATCAATCTGCGATTTATACGAACATCTGTTCGTTTTTCTACTATTTATTATTTCTTGTTGGATACGAAAATACAAAAACTCTCTCTACTACGCGCGTGCGTGTGCATGTCTACATATTAATGTAGAATATAAAATTTAATACACAATTGAATATTGGACCCTGATCTTACTTCTACAGAATGAAAATGGAATTTTAGACTTTAAATTGTCACATATTGTCATAATTTAACCGTTGATTGAAGCTACAAGTACTTGAAAATTTTATGGCTATCGTACGTTTTTCTTTTGATTTATTATATGAATTTATTGCGTAATTTGTATACAAGATAAACAGTGGGCGGAAATGGTCTTGTGAAATTATGGAATTGCAGCTGCTTCCAGTCGCATGCGACGGCGCAATGTGTGACAGTATTTGTCGCCTTGGGCAGAGCGCCACTCTATTGTAATATACGTTCGTAATTATAGAATCCCACTCATGCGAGAATGAGGGAAGACAACGGTCGGAAATGCGTGTGCGATAACGGCACATCAATAATATTTCAATAAACGGATTTCTCGTTTTGCGGATCGAAGAAACGATAAGGAGCAATAGCCCCGCGTGGATCCCTTTCTATTTTGCCGTCACTGATTAGTGATAATTTGCGATAATTGCATACCACAAACATCCCGCCGTCGGCGGGATCAATCGAGGCGGAAGTTAGCTCACATCGAGAGTAAGATAGCGAGTGTAATTACCGGCTATTAAATTAGGTAATAATACACCTGGCGCGCACGACTGAAAAACTTTTCTTCTAGGAATTTATTAACCCTTCCAATATAGACTTTTTTTTTTCTTAGATATTTATAATTTAAAATTAAAATACTTGCACCGAATATTGGTTTTAAAAGTAGTTTTTATATAAGTAAATTTAATTTGCGGTTTGATTTAATTTGACCTTTCAACACTTTGGCCCGCAGGTTTTAATTTGTTTCTTTCAAATCATTGTAACATCCGTCACACGATATAAATCGTATCCGTTAAACAACAAATTAACCGTATCGTTTCTTATGCAAGATATTGAAAAAATTTATATAAATTATGAGAACATTAAAGTAAAAAGTTTGAGTAATTTGCTCAAATACATTTGTCCTACGGTTTCAATAAAATTACAATATAAAAAACTACGTCATACGAAAACAGAATATCTAAATTTTAAAAAATGTCTATCTACATGAGTTATAATTTTGTATATAAAAAAATATATTTTTAATTATTGCAATTACGCGATTCCGTTGAGCAGAAGAGTAATATATAAAACTGGTGTAAGTAGTTCCTTTCACACGCTACACTTTTTATCACGCTTTATCGTGTGCGTCGGATAACCCTGAAGAAAATAAATATCAGTTCATTCTTAATTTATGTCGAGGTCTCTTATATTGTGCAAATGGAAAACGTGAAAATATTTGAAAAAAAAATGCTTTAATTAGCTATCCCAAAGCAATTAAATATCGATAATTACATGAGCAGGACTACGGTACGTGGATACATAACGAAATTTCATAGTACCTGTTAATTAACAGTTATTAAATTTGCATAATGCCCTAATAGGATTTTCAATTGATCTCCATTTACGATAACGTAATTAAAGTGCCCCGTATAAATTCCTGCACGACTATCAATGAGACCGCATTTAATTATATGCAATCATGTGGGACTTGTTTAATCATAGAGATTATTAGATCCTTCCAGAGTAAAGTCAACTCTGACGGTGGCTTGTGTTATCATTGTCATACGTTAAGCTCACAACGTCGCATTAAAGAAAAATATAACAAGAAGAGATAAAACGGAAATAATATTTTTATACCATTTGTTAGGCTAAGGAAGATTTGAACGTATAACCTGTATAGACGTTTTGAAATAACATTTGATATTTTTCTCTAACCAAACAATTGTAGGTATACTTTACTTTAATTGAACTTCAACACACGTTTATCATCTTGTCAGAGAACTCGTACTTACCTGCTCGTTAAGATCACCGCTAACTGACTCTCGCTACAAGCTCGCTGCTAACAAGTCTCATCCGTGAACACGCAACGTGCAGTTCGCGTACTCTTCTTTCTCTCGGTCACGCTCGTTTACGGCACATTTCAGGTGCTAGACGTGCGCTTCTCCCGTGGCGAGTTAAGACACGAGACGCTCCGAACTCCGAAATTCACCCTCTCTGGAAATTTCGCGCTGATACCAGCGGCATTGAACGCCAAGTCTATTCGACCCCAAGGTGGTCCCCGCCGCTCAGTCTTAACGGCAATCCAATTTGCAACGATCGATGCTACTGCAGCTGGAAGCGCGTCGACCAGCCGCGTCGAAGAATCTCGCAATCTTCCTCGGGGCGGCGAGTTCTAGTCGATCTGTTTCCGAGGAAGTTAACCGATTGAATGGTTCCGACGAGAACAATCGACCTCACACAGTTAAAGTGTGGCAATATGGCAGGCGAAATGTTCGCCAAAGTGTCGATATCGCTCTTGATGTTTGCGAAACCTCGAGGGAGATTCGTTATTTCGAATACTTTGGTTCGTCGAAACACCGAGTCGGGGTCGATAAAACGAAGAGCAAACTTAGGAAGCGTAGTAAATTAATCGCGATCAAACTACCCGTCGAGTCGAGATTTCAATCCCTCCGTCGAAGAAGGGAGGAATCTTTTACCGTCTTTTCGCGAGAAAAATACGAGCTAAGGCGAGCGATCGTTGATCATCAGTAGGAAACTTCCCGATGTCATTTGTTGGAAACTTTTGCGCCGCGTCTTTAATCGCGCCCCACGGATGCGATACTCACGATGCTCAAGTGTGAAAAATGCGTTCGCCACTCCTGGTCGATTGCGGCCACGCGTTTTTCACTGTCGTCGGCCGAGGTGTCACTGCTTCGACGTGCATCCTCACGATTTATAAAGCCTCGCGCCTCTCGTCTCCGATGGCTCTTTGCACGCCGCGTGTGTGTCAGTCCGTCAGGCCGTCGTTATTATTCCCCTGCCAAGTGGCCGTTTCTCCCTCCACGCGATTGCGAGCCGTTACCACCCACCGTCACGTCGCTTGTATAAGATCCAAAGCCGGATTTCACACAACATTTTACAACTTATTTTAGTCTAGGTGAATTTTTCTGCACTAAAAACACCAAGAATGTAAAGATAAACATTCATTTTTCGATGAAACCACGATCACCTTTTATTTACGGAATAAACGTGAATACATTATGGATACATTTATTTTATCGATATTCATAAAATAAAATAAGTCTCTTTGTTTTTAAAATTACTTTTTCATTCATTTACTCTTTTCAATATGTATGGTGACTAAGGATTTGTTTGTTTAAGTAAAATCACGTAAAAATGTATTTATCGCGTTACTCAGAAAATGATTGTTGTTGAAAGGGCAAATCAGAAATTTTGTTTCGTATAATTTAGGCTTAACGGGTGAGTTCATGCAATCTATAAAATGATTGACGCAGTACTAGGACTATGGACATTCATTTTAGGAATCGATGCCTCTGGACACTGGTTAACCTTAATTGAAGTTAACTGAATTCGTTCTCTCTCTAGATGATTGTATCATGACACGAATAGAAAGATATAGTGCGCTGAGATTAGAGTTAATCAACGTCGCGGGAATCGACAATAAAAATACCGATGTAATGTAGAATATTGATGAAGGGGGAAAAATGCATCATATCATGTTGGAACATTTTTATTTATACACTTATAAGCGAACAACGTTAATCTAAAACTTAATATTATAAAATATATCCGCGACAGAAAGTTCTATCATAATTTTTTATCGTCTTTCTTTTCCTAAATCAATGTCTCTTATTACGCATGTGCTAACTTTTACGGTCAATTACTACAATGTTACTTAATTCCATAGCTTAAAATTGAAGAATTACGTCGTAAAATTATATGTGTGTGACGACAGGCATTTTCGTGTTCCTTGCTCAAGTGGAAAATACCTAAAAATAGTGAATTCCCTTGAAACAAAGTCAATGTGCATTGTTTGGATTATCTTTGCACGTCAAAGATTAGCAAGAGATTTTCTCGTGAACTTGGTAGCTTCTTATCTCAACCGTGAGAAAAAATAATGACAAAAGTTTCAAACAAGATGGTTTGTTTTAACTTCTTCTTACCATCTCGTTAACATACACAGTAACGCGCTTAGTGACCTAATTTCGCAAAAAATCTTTTAGCACAATAAAAGGGTTTGTTTATTTTAACAGACTTTCCGGTGCATAATTTATTTTCACGATTTTAACTGTATATTTGTTTCAATAATTTAATCGTAAATAAAACGAAAATATTAACTTGTTTTTTAAAGAGATTCAATTGAGAGCACGCAGGATGTAATTGGAAATTTTGCGATTTAATTTTAATTAACTTCATGACACTTTGCGTGTTTTAATTTTTTTATTGTTAAATTTAATACAAGCAGTTATTAATTTTGTTACTTTGTCACACTCCACTGTATGCAGTTAATGAATTTAATTCCGTTGGACTACAATCATAATCAGTTAATTCGCTCCACACAGTCCATCCCTCAACATTTACTTTAAACGGGTTCTTCTCGAGCAAATATAACCCGGAACCGGACGATCACATATTTCACTTTAAACACGCAGCGAGAATATAGTTCATAGTTAACTTTTCGAGATGATAATCTAATTTTTATTTTTTCGCAATAAGAATTTTAATTGCCAGATACGGTCAGTAAAAATCACTGAATTTGTTAATTACTGCTGGCGACTGTTAAGATTATTCTTACTAGTTGATTATACACCAATGACCTCAAACATGGTGTTCCTCCGTAGGGGGAATGGGATCGGGGGGAGTGACAGAGAAATTTAAAATATCGCGTATCGACAGTTCGGTGTACGTTCGACAACCATATCGACGCACAGTTCTGAAAAGTCGAAATAGACGCGTAAACAACATCTTAAAAGTTATATACACGTTATTGCGAATAGTATTACCACAGCCCCGGTGGTCGAGCTGGCTAAGACGCCCGTCACGGATTGTAAGGAGGTCCCAGGTTCGAATCCTGGCTGGGGTAATATTTTTCGCAATAAGAATTTTAATTGCCAGATACGGTCAGTAAAAATCACTGAATTTGCTAATTTTTATTGTTCGTTGTCAGAATTAGATATACTGACTGTTCGTTTATACGCTTGAAAATGCTTATGCATGAAATGCATCTCTGTTCTGGCCAGAAGAAATTCATTGCCGCTTCTTCTCGCGCGTCACTGTGCACGGGAAAATCTCGTAATAACTGAACAGTCTGCCATAAACTGTTTTGCGCAATCATGCCGTGTGCAAACATGGGCTGTTTATCCATGTTTCTACGTTAAAAACATTTTAATTAATATCATAAAATTACAATCGCTAAATCGTCACTTTTTTGGAAGGAATTTAAGTGTTGAATTTATTGCAGTAATTTGGGCTGAATTCAACGCTAAATAAGGAACGACCATGGTCGTTTTCCATCGATTTCCATAAAATGGTAATATCTCATAGCTGCACACCGTAAAGATTACTTATCAATAATTAAACCTATACGGAAAAAAAGAATAACATGTCAACAAGATCGGTACAATGGAAATGAAATCGTTGAAACAACATCAGTGTTAATAAATGAAAAACATTAGATTGTTGTCTTAATAATCAGGATATTTAGTTCGATGCTTAAAATTCAAATCCACAGCAAATACAATTGTGAGTGAATTATTTATGTTTGCGGCAGTCCGTGATATTAACGTGTAATTCAAGCAACTTCATTTTGTTTAATTCAACAGCTTTTTTCCCCGTGTAATAATACTTGGATGCTAGACATTGAACCCATGCTACTCTATTAAAGGAAATTACAGATCGAGCCGAAGCCGCGGTGCACGACAGCCCAAAAATCCGAAAATAGTTCAATCCACGAAATTAAAGGGGACGGTTCGTTGCGAGTAAGACGTATTTGGAGAGGGAAAGAGAGATCGGAGGCGCAAGAGAATTAAGCCAATTCTAACATTTAAATAAAATATATTGAAATAACAAGATTAACAATCAAGTACTCTACTCACTTGTATGACTTATTTTAGCAGCGCGATAACAATGCGATAAACGAATGTTACCGGCGGTGTTAAAGGCAAATTAATAACTGCAGCATCTCGCAGCAATCGAATGGTAAAAACGAAATTTCAAATGGTAATTGGCAATTCGCGCGAGCGATACGAGCTCATGCCTCGATAATACACGAGATGAAAAAGTATCCCATTTATTTCGATAAACGAGAATATTAAATTACCGTAGTATATCGACGACTTCGAAAGAGAAAGGTGGGTCTCTAAATCCGAGGGTGCGATCGAATGGGATAAAGCAGTCGTCGATCTTATTAAAATCTTAGACGACTCTGCTTACGAGATCTCCCACGTAATGGTTAACGCGGAGTGGCGCCTTTCCCTTCGCTGCTCTCCCCAAGGTCCCATTCGTGTCTCGATGTTCATCGGCATCCAGATTGCCGCGAGATAATTAATGCAGTGGCAACAGTATCTGCTTGAGCTAAATGCGGACGAAATTGGAAAAGGGCGAGACAACCTGCGCGCTTTGTTGAGGCTTGTTCGTTCCCTTGGCGGCTGCAACTTCCTTCGCTGCTGATCGGGAAAGATGTCGTCATCGATTGTTAGCTTACAGTAATCGTCGATGTTTGCTGATCGCGCTACGAAGAAAAGGAAGAGAAAGAATGGCGCGAAAAAGAAAATCACCGAGTGCGGGATGTTTTCTTCCGAGTCGGAAGGATGCTTCTCACCTTCGCGATTGAGCCTTGCGACTTCTTTTTATAACGGCTAAGAGGCATCGCATCTACGTGACATTATTTTTTACTTTTGCTTCAGTTTGAATCCGCGTGTGTGAATGTTGTATCTTGCACTTATATTTGAAATGCAAATTTTTTTATTCCCTTCGCAGCCGTTGCGTGCGTTGTTGCAGCTTCTACTTTTGCACACTCCGCTAGTAATTATATCGTCGTGCTTGTTTTTTCGCTCCGTTTTCCTGACATCTCTTCTGCAAAGAGGGAACGCTCGTATTCGTTATCGCTCTTCCGTCTTCCCCGGGCCGAGGTTCGTTACGATTCTCTGTGGCGCGATGGCGAGACAGTTTCGGAACACGAAAAGATAATGTTTCGGTGGGTGCGTATATGCGGCCCGACGCGTTTCAGCGCGAACAATGACGCGATAATGTGTCCAGATACCGACTGAATTCGCGCCCGCGCGCGCGCGCGCGCGCTACGTCGTCCCAGATGCAGAGACGGAACGTTAACGTAACGCGAGCACGTCGACACGTTAAATTTGCACGTGGGAATGCATCTGTTCGTAGGTACTTGTGTGCGTGCATTAACGATCGCGCCAAGTCCGCCGACGAAAATGAGTATGCGCGAGCGTCGGTTTGCGCGAGAACCACACGGTAAATTAATTAATGAAACCGTTTGTTAACGAAATAATTAACAGGTTATTTAGCGATAGTAGCGAACGGCACGATACCAACACACGTCGATTATTTATTGCTCGCCAATCAAGAAAATCCACGATATTACGTACTGCATATTTATAGGAATTGTTCTCGTGCGCAACAATTGCACCACGCATTGTCGAATACTACGCACATTATGAATACTTTAACCGCTTAATCCCAACCGAACTACGTAAGTCAAAATCAATCGTACATTTTATTTGGCGCTTTATTCGCGCTGATAATTTGTTTAAATTAAAAATGCCGTTTATGAAGAATTGAACAGAAATTCATGGTCCGCACCACGCATGATTCACGACCTCTCCTGCGAATTCACCATTCATGGGAAAAAACGCGATTCCCTTCTTCCGCCCAGTCTAAATAATCTCGTTATCTCGTCGAACTTCAAATTAATTCTGCGAATCGCGGGCGCGGATCGGCCGCGGTCGAATTAATCTTCACCAGCGAAGGAAAATAACGAGTTCGGTA